GTTATTCCTCCAATTTTGGGTAAAAGTAAAAATTGGATGGTACCATGTCTGTACACTGTGAAGTATTCCATAAACTCTTGATTTCTGGGTCAACAATTCCCATGGCAGATACGACCTCCACTTTTGAGGAGTTGCCTTATTTCTCCTCCATGTATGTTCTTTCTTCCCCGTTACTAAAACTGTGAAGTATATTCTGCAGTTCTGGTGTTTTGAAGTATAGAAATATTGTGAATACATGCATGGAGTTGGGAAGAAGGTATTCCCCCCCCCCCGGGATATTTTATTTAATCAGTAAAAACAGGAAGGAGGAAGAAGGAGAATCAACATCCGTCTGCCTTCTTTCTTCGCCTTAGATACAATTGCTGGTGTTAAGCCCTGAGGGATAAGAAAATAAATGTATATTTATTTTAATTATTTTTATGCCCTCTGGCCTGCTGGGCATCTCTAAACCATGTTTGAAAGTCAAATGAAAAAATATATCTGGTGCTACAAGTCACCAAAGATGGCTATATTGATGTGCTGGAAGATATGAGATGTTCTTTAGCATCTATTCTTTCCTTTCAGTTGGTGGGAAATTGCTCTGAGAAAAGGGGTATTGTTAACGTTCATGAAATGGAAACCTTCAATAAGTACTCATCAGTGTGCCTTAAGCAATGCGCCGTAATTGAATGTTGGATCGCCTAAGGAGTCCCTCCAATTGAACTTCACCACAAAAAAACAAGTTGCTTATGGTAATGACTATGTTGACATGAATATTGTGGATTCCTGGGTGGAAAAACTCTTCCTAGTGATGAACTAGGAAGAGCCAAGAACAAAGTATGATCACAATCAACTAGTGTCACAGGAGAAAGGTTGAGGACAATTGGTGGATCACTTAGAGAGAGAAATTGCTGCCCGGTTTGGCATTTCATAGGAGTGAATGGATCCCATTTTTGATGTTCTTCATTATTGGACAAGTTGTGCAACGTGAGTCCTTCAAATGCTGCTTGCAGAAACGAATGCTGCAAAAATTGGACTTTGCCGATAATTGCCATCACATCACGAAAATGAAACTAAGGAATTTCTTTACAGCATCAGGACAGCTGATGAAACATGGCCATATAATTATATATAATAATAATCCAGAAACAAANAGTGACAAAAGGGACATAGTCATTTTTCAGAGTTACGACCTTTGCAGCATCCCCATGATCATGTGATCAAAATTCAGGTACTTGGCGACTGGTTCATACTTATGACCGTTGCTGTGTCCCAAGGTCATGGGATTCCCTTTTGCAACCTTCTGACAAGCAAAACCAATGGGGAAGCCAGATTCACTTAATAACCAGGTTACTAACTTATCAACTGCAGTGATTCACTTAACAAATGTGGCAAGGAAGGTCATTGGGCAAATCTCACTTAAGAAACAACATCAAATTTGGGCTCAATTGACTTCATAAGTCAAGGACTACCTGTACTGTAAGGGATAAGCCTAATATTGCAAATGGGTTGCTTGTAATTGTTGAGACACAAAATGGCTCTTTAAAAGACTCATTCCAACAACGTTTGAAAAAATATTTCTGGAATAAGAGGACCTCACTAAAAAATAGAGTGGAAATAAATGAACAATTGTCTCAGGGAATTACTCTAGGGAAGTTAGATCTTTTAAAATTGTTTTTCAGGGAAACAATGAAGTCGTTTCAGCCCCATCAAGCTTTTAACGTTGCTCTCTTATTTTAACTTTTCTCTTCTGCTTAATTTTTCTGCCTGGAAAATTCCTCCATCATGCCATGTCTCATTTTTATTTTTCTGTGCATTTCCTTAAATGTTTTTAATTTGGGGAGGCAGAAAAGTATCCCTTCTGTTAGCAATTTGCTAACACAATAAAATGGCAAAATGGCAAGGCCAGATAATTAAAATAAATCTAGCCAAGATCTGCAGAATTAAACTGGATTTTACCAAGCGTAAAAGAATATCAGAAAATGTGCATAAACGATATCATCAGCCCTTCTGATGAGGAGACCATTCCGACAGTAGATTCTCTAAAATTGGCAACCACAAATTATGAGCTAGGTTTCACAAATGGGAAGGAAATACACACCAATTTCTTAATTTTGAACATACTTTAGTTTGCTGTTTGATGCCTGCTTCCCTCACTCACCAGTGCAAAAAAGAAAAATTCCAATAATGCTTTGATTTACTCTGTTTTGCCTGTAAGATGGTTTACTTACAGATTGAAGAAATGTGAATCCTTTTAACATTGTATTGTATTCTCATGTATCTAATTTACTCTCCTTTCAATATTTTTTTTGGGGTGGGGGCATACCTATATTCTCAGTGATGTGCCTAAGGAAAAAATGCAAATACATATCTTGGGCTATACAGCATATTTTTTCTCCTGTTGTGTTGTGGAAATGCTAACCCTGGCTGAGATTCTTTTTCACTGAGGTAGAAAGTTCATAGCCCCTTCCAGATTTTAACATTAAGGCATATGAAATCTAATTTCTAGTCCAGATAAAGGTTTGCTTGTCCAGTTGTCTATAGAGCATGGTGCTCTTTTTCATTTCATTGTCCAAAGGCAATTTCCGTGGTCACATGGTCAGCATGGCTATATGCCAAAGGCGCAGAGAACCGTGTTACCTTCCCACCAAAGTGGAATCTATTCATCTACTCACATTTGCATGCTTTCGAACTACTAGGTGGGCAGGAGCTGGAGCAAGTAATGGGAACTCACCCCGTTGTGCAGAACGTGGGTCTCAAACTGAGGCTGTCAGCTCTCCATTTGACAAGTTTGGCGTCTTTAACAAATGAGCCATCGATAGGAAATGTAGCACAGACTAATTAAAAAGAGTACCAGATTCTTTCACCTTGTAGTATGTCTACATCTAGATTAAGGAGTAAGTAGCAAACAGTGACTTTTATAATTGGTTAACAAGAAATTTGTCTTTGTATGTGTGTGAGAAGTCTTCACCCTTAAACCTGGGAATTAAACCAGTTTAAATACAGAAGGATTTACAGCTGATTCTGCCCATGAGGTTGCTACAACAGTCATAATTGTGAAAAACTGCCATAGGTTACTTTTTTTCAGTGCTGTTGCAACTTCAAACAGTCACTAAACAAATGATTGTAAGTCAAGGACTACCTGTATGTTTGCTTTCATAATGCCGAAGAATTTTGTTTTGCAGGAAAAAGTTCATTTTTGTCTGAGTTGTGGTTAACCTAATCTCTCTTCCCGTTGCACCAGAGGTGGGATTCAGCCAGTTCGCACCTACTCGCGAGAACTGGTTGTTAACTTTCTAAGCAGTTCGGAGAACCGGTTGTTGGAAGAAATCTCATTTTGGTTTTTTCCCCCCACTTTACAGTCCTGTAAAGAACGCAGGAAGGAAACATTCTGGTGTTGTTTCTAGCCTAATCTTTATTACCCTGCTTACGGAAACTGCCTCTCCAGTTAACCCTTGTTACATTGTAACAGCTAAGGCGAAGCGCCCATCGACCTGAGTGATGTTGNGTCTTAAAGTTGCCAAGGTTGGAGACCACTGTTCTAGGTAGATGGAAAAAGCCATTATTAAAATGTGAAATGTGTTTCCAAGATGTGGTAATGCTTCCTTGTGACATTTCTGTGACAGGGCGGGAAGCGAGCACGTTTTGAATGGAAGGAAAAGTCTATAATGTCGGTTCTCCAGCTCAGCAACTTTAAGAAGTGTGGACTTCAGCTTCCAGAATTACCCAGTCAGCCTGCTGGTTGAGGAATTCTGGGAGTTGAAGTCCCCACATTTTAAAATTCCCGAGTTTTGGTAAAATTGGCTGTAAGGAGCGATTGATCCTAATGGAACTCCCGAAGTTCCATCTGGCTTGTAATGCGTGCTGGAAGTGTGGAATAATTCGTGCTCCCATAGTTTGCATGGTTTTTTTTTAAAAAAGGTTTTTATTTGGTAAATATTAAAAACGTTGGACACAGTGCGACATTTCTGGCATAGTCATTTCCATTGAGATTTTTGATCTTACAGCGATAACAGTTGATATCCGTTACATAGGCGTGGGTAGTCAGTCAAATTACCTACCCATTAATCCCTTTCATTACATAGTTACTACATATCCAATTCCTACCTATCGTGCGATATGAATACCATATTTTCCAGTTCTTAACTTATCCGTGTTTTTCTGTCCTGACCTTTTTCCCCTCGATTCTAACCACCTGTCCCAGATTTTGTGGTATTCCATCTCACCCTTGTCTTTGAGCTCCAAAGTCAGCCTGTCCATTTCTGTGCAAGAGTTTGCTTGGCTGTTCATTCGCAATGCTCTGATGATGTTGCTTAGTTGGGAGAATGAAATGTCTGCTAAAACAGACCAGCTCTGAGAGCAGCAAAAACGCCACCGTTCACCCGTGAGCTACTTCTATTATTCTGAAAATATTTTGTGAAGAGAAAGGATGTCTATGCTGTCTTAATCTATCTATCAGACATATTTGCTAATGGGCAAAATTTGTCCCCTGTTGTCTTTCCTCTACTCAGGTTCTTCGCAGTGGCCCCGAACAAGTGGACAGGGTGCCTTATCTCCAAGCTACGAAGGCACCCTCCATACTTTGGTAAGTATTCCTCCACCTCATACTTGCCACTGGTTTTTGCACTGAATAGTTGCAGTTATGACAACACTGGGAAAGGCAGCCTATCATCGGACTTTGGGTACTTGGCATCCAGCTTATCTTTTACAAAGGTTAGAGCATCCCAGGGGGGGCGTGTGATCGCTATTTGCAACCTCCCCAGCTGGCAGGTCAAAGGGGAAGCTGCCAGGAAAACCACAAGTCGTGATCATTTAATCATTTCTTTGTTTGTTTGCTTGTCAAACATGGACCAGATAGCAGATATGGGTATAAACATAAACGAAGGAAGGAAGTACAGATCAATGTAGGACAGGGACGGTAGGCACGCTGGTGCGCTTACGCACGCCCCCTTTACGGACCTCTTAGGAAAAGGGTGTGGTCCACAGTTGACAGTTTGAGGTTGAAGCTTTGAGGATTTGTAACAACAGAGTCAGGTAGAGCATCCCAAGCAGTGGTGGGATTCAGCCAGTTCTCACCTATTCGGGAGAACCGGTTCTTAACTTTCTAAGCAGTTCGGGGAACCGGTTGTTGGAAGAAATCTCCTTTTGTTTCTTTCCACTTACAGGGCTAATCCTGTAAAGAAGGCAGGAAGGAAACATTCTGGTGTTGTTTCTAGCCTAATCTTTATT